GTGAACATGAATTATTTTTGTAATTATTAAAAAAGAAAATTCAGGGGCTGGCCCCGTGGCCGAGTGGTTAAATTCGCGCGCTCTGCTGCAGGCGGCCCAGTGTTTCGTTGGTTCGAATCCTGGGCACGGACATGGCACTGCTCATCAAACCAACTATGTACTGGGGGGCTTTGGGGAGAAAAAAGGAAAAAAAAAATAAAATCTTGAAAAAAAAAAAGAAAATTCATAGTGTTTCAAAAATGCAAGTTGGCTAAAATTAATTTTAATCCATGTTCTGTATTTTATAATGAATTATTTTTGTTAAAAGACTTTTTGTAAAACCTTCATAATGATAGTTTGAATTGAAAATATATGAAATTTCAAATAACACCATGAAATAACTTATAACTTCTAATTAGGTGATATTTGTTACAGTTTGCAATGTTATAACTTCTATTAAAAGTTTTATTATAAATTATAAAATACCATGAACTATATCAGGAGTCAGCTTTAAGCAGATTTTCTTATATAGACTTATTTGAAGAATAAAACTGTTCAGTCTAGAAGAAACCATTAAACATCAGAACATTTTTTCTGAAACCATACATTTAGTTCTGCAGTGGTTAACGTGCTTATTGCCAGGATGTGGAGATGAGAACTGGTAGCCCTAATCATCCTCTTCATAAGATATTTTACACATGGTCAGGCCCTCACTTGAAAAAGACTATGAAGAAAGTCAGTGACTTACAGGATGGTTGACCACGCAGACTAGAGTACAGCACAGAGGATCTGTGGAGGAGGAGGAACGGGTTTAAGGACAATTCAACCTAGACTTCTAGAAGTCTTAAGTGATGAGTCTCTGGAGTCTCCACTGATTTGAGAGATGCAGCAAAAAGAATAAACAATAGTATCAGACCTTAAGACACGGAGTTGGGAAGTTTAGGCATTTAATCTACCTTTTAGGTAGTGACAGTATGCTTCATAATATAAAGGGTGCAGAAAGGCCAAGTCATCCAAGTAAACACTGTCAAAAAGAAAAATTCCTCAAAAAAAAAGCTGCCTTTGTTTTTTATAGCTCTGGAGTCTGGAAAAAATTTAAATTGTTTTTTAAAATGCCTGCTAGCCCTTAATCATATGAAAAACTGCACAACCTCACTTTTTATTAATTTTAAATTTTTAATTATATCAGAAAACTAATTAGTGCAAGTGAAAACCACATTGAGATACCAATTTTCATCTGTCGGTTTGGTAAAAATTGGACAAAACTCACTGTTGACAAGGCTTTGGAAAACAGGTGCCCTAATCCATTACTGGTGAGAGTGCAAAATGACATAACCTCTCTGGAGGGCAGCTTGGCAGCAGCTATCAAATTGCAAGTGCATTTCCTCTTCAATCCAGTAATCTCACTTTTAAGAACTTTGTTCTACACAGATATGTCATTTCATGTGTATGCAATGCAGTTATAATTTACAAGGCTCTTTATTACAGAATTGTTTGCAACAGAATTTTTAGGAACAACCACAGTATTCGTCTAAAAAGCATTTGTTTTTTAAAAACAAAAACCGTGGTGTATCCACACAAATGAAATACTATGCAGCTGTTTAAAGAAAATAAAGAGAAAGATCTTCACGTACTCATATAAGAAGATCTCTAGGCTATATTGTAAAAAGCGGGGTGAGGGTAGAGGAGTACAGAGCAATGTATTTAATAATCTACCTTTTATATAAGAAATGATGACAAATAATATATGTTTATATAGTATATTTGTTCCTAATAAAAATGGTTATCTAAAGAGGACCCAGGGGGGAACTAGATGGGAGTGCGACTTCTCAGTGTGTACTTTTTTATATATACATAATTTTGATTTTTTACCATGTGAATATGTGACCTATTCCAAAAAGTAATTTTTTTTTTTTTAATTTTAAGAAAATGTTCCTTCAGGGGGCCGTCCCTGTAGATGAGTGGTTAAAATTCCACACACTCCACTTCAGCACTTCAGCAGGCTGGGTTCGGATCCGAGGCATGGACCTACTCCACTCATCAACCATGCTGTGGAGGCATCCCACATACAAAATGGAGGAAGATTAGCACAGATGTTAGCTCAGGGAGAATCTTCCTCAGCAAATAAATGAATGAATGAATGAATGGTGAGGCGGGGGAAGAAAATGTTCCTTCTAAACAGAGGTCATTTGTTTTCAGAATTTTGAAAGATACGTGCAAAGATTATGTCAGAGCAAGAAACATAATTTTAGAATAAAGAGAAATGATTGAGTCAGTGTTCCTAATATATGAGATGTACTGTCTCAGGCATCTCTGGTGGGTAAGCCCTGTCTACATCATCTGCTTGTCTGAAAGAGGCACACTGGCCAGCCACAGCTGCATTACTGGACAGAGGCTAGCAGAGAAGCTAGAGAGACCATCCCATCTCCTGCATTCCCATTCCCTTTGCTGACTAAAATTTTAGGAAAAGGTGGCTGCCCACCCTGGGGTGCTGTGGAACAGAACTCATGACCCACAACATACATTCTTGTATTTATCTGCCTCTCATGCTTTTAATTCTCTCACCATCTCAGAGACTTTGGTGTGCAAAAAGGTTTTGTTTGTTTTTTTTTTTTTAGTTTTTATTGTGGAAGTTTTCAGAATATACAAAAGCAGAGAGAAGAGTGTAATGAATTCCCATGAACCTATCATTCCAGCTTCAATAATTAAAACAATTTTGCCTTTTTAAAAAAGTCTATCCCCCTTTTTTTCTGAAATATTTTAAAGCAAACCTTAAATCATATCATTTCACCCATAAATACTTCAGTATGTATCTCTAATAACTAAAGGTCAAAAAAATGACATTACAGACTACAACTTCTTATCCTGAAATTTCATTATGTATCCTGTTTTTTAGAAAGATTAAAGGAAACTTCTCCTCCTCTGTATTCATCAGTCTTTCCGTCTTCACTGGGGTAGTTTCCAGTCAGCATACAAAAAAAGGCTATCTCCTGTCTTAAAAAAAAAAAAAATTAAGGCCTCCCTTACCTTTCATTCCCCTCCAATTGCTATTCTCTTTCCTGTACTTTTCAAAAATCTCTCTTCATTTGCTTAAGTTTAACTTCTCAGTCAAGTCCACTCTGACTCCCATCCCCACCATTCCACTAACACTGTTCTTGTTGATGTCACCAGTGACTTAGACGTTGAATAAATCCAGTGGACACTTAGTTTTCATCTTGCTAGACCTCTCAGCCCCTAATGCTAACAATGAATGTTAATTGAGTACTCACTGTCCTCAGCTCTTTACATGAGTTATTTAATTCTTTAGCAGTTTTTTGAGGTAGGTGTTGTCTTTATCTCCATTTTATAGATGAAGAAGCTGAAGCTTAGGTTAAGTAACTAGTCCAACCGCTAGTAAGGGGTAGAGCAAGGGTTTAAATTCAGGCACCATCTGATCCTGCTGCCTTTGAAACACTCTCATCGCTTACCCTGCTATCCTGGGTTTTCTTCCTCTTTCTCTGTTCCATTTAGGTTTTCTTTGCAGCTTCTCCTTCTTCCTGATCTTTACATTTTGGAAGTCTCTCAGGCTTTCATCCTGGGTCCTCTTCTCACTGCCGCTAGGCAGTCTCACCCACACCTATGGCTTCAATTACCATGTGGAAGGTGATGAGCTCCCAGTATATATCTTTAGCTTAGAGCAGCTTCTGAGCTGTAGACCCAGATATCCCACTGTCTCCTGGTACATCCAAAACCTAGCTTTGAGTCTGCACCTTCTGTGTTGCCTTTTTTGCTAAATTGGTACAGCCATCCACCAGCTGCTCAGCAAAAACCTGGGAATCTTCTCTTAGCTCCTATAAATAATCACCAAGTCCTATTTATTGTCTCTTGTTATCTCGCTCATTCATCTATCTCCCTAAGGAAAGCACCCTCCCCCCCCCCCATTCTTAGACAGGATCCACCTATTATAAATTCCGAGTACCCTGTACTTGTCTTCCTCCCCTTTATAGCATTTTTTGTAATAATATTCACTTGCTTATGTTACCTTTTTGTTTTCATTCCTTTAGGATGAAATTTAACTTTTTATTCCTTTAGAAAAGACATTCAAGGAGGGACCAAGACAGTCTTGTTTGTTATTACATCCCTAGTGGCTAGCAGAGTGCCTGGCGCAGAGGTGTCACTAAATATTTGCTGAATGAAAAAATGAAATTTGTTTTAGGAAAATCTCTAACAAGAATAAGTAGTGTGAAGGGTGAACTCCTGGAGACAGAGTTGCAGTCAAGATTTCTGATAGTCAAGCCATAGAAAGGAGCTGAGGAATTGGCACACGAGTGGGAGAAGTAGGGTGGTTGGGGATGTGGAAGTTGCAAGACTCAACTGACTCTGACTATATGTGGGAAGTGAGAGAAGGGGGTGTCAGGACTGCAGCGGGTTTCTAGCTTGGACCACTGAGAGACTCATGCTACCATTCCCTGAAAGTATCAGGGATGAAAGGAAGAATAATGACTTTAGTTTTGGACCTGTTGACTTTGAAGAACCTCCTGTAGGACACCCAGAGAGAGAGAACCAATAGGCAGTTATAAAAACGGAAATGGGATTCAGGAGAGAGATACAGGCTTTACCTCATCGCTGAGTAGAGCCAGTACAGTACCCGTTGATAATTCAAGTGTGAACTGAGAACAGTTTAATCACTGAGACTTTTTATCATTGGTACAGAGTTGGTAGATATTTTGGTACTTTTTAAATTGGGGATGGATGTTATAAACATATATTGTGTATTATAAAGAAATGGGATTTTTACATTATCATTTGACATCCTATGAATGTTAACTAATAATAGCTGTGAACCTAAGCATTTATTCTTTATGTTAAATGAGCAGATCTTGTTTTAATTATGTTATTTTGTTAATGCTAATTTACATCTTTTTTTTTGTCTTAAAGACAAAAATAAAACTTAGTGGGGTTTGTGGAATTGCGTTAGATTGTGAACTCCGTGAGGACTTGCTGCCATGTGACTTAAATTTATTTTCCTCTTATTTCTCTAGGGCCTATTCCTTGGTGGATTCCAGTCAAGTGTCTACATTTCTCATTTCCATTCTACTTATAGTCTACGGTAGTTTCAGGTAAGATGCTCTCAAAATGGGATTGATTTCAATTGGAAGTGGAAGAAGCATTTCTCTGAAAGTGTTGGCACCAAAACTTACTGCTCTGTGAGGAGAAACATGACTTTAACAGGAATTAAGTTAGAAAGGGATAATTCTAATATTGATTCTTGGTTGGCGGCTGTTAAAACACTTCCTGGTTTTGCTTATGACTTTGGCATTTTAATGCAAACATGCAAAAACTAATTGCTCAAACATAGGTTGAGCCTTATGAGGTTGCCAATAGTCAACTTTTTTTGACCTACAGAAATAATTTCATATGGTTCAACCTACTATTATTAGGATTGTGCACAGTAGCATTTACCAAGTATTCTCTCTGCTGGCCTTGGGAATGCTGTGCCTGGATCCCCTTGAAATACCTGTCCTGGCAGGCAGCCATAGGAATACAAAGGAAAATCAGGAAGATAGACACTCCCATCTTCTTTCTACTATCTTTACTTAAGAGGAATTCTAGTGGTTATCTAACTCAAATAACTGTGTGGCTGATACACTTACAAATGAAGGCTGCCTGAGAGATTTTAAATTGAGAACTTGAAAGGAAGTGATGGTGATAAATGTAATAATCAGGCATAGGAATTTTGAACTAGTCAATATTATATTTGGATTTTAATGAGTACTTGGTAAAATCATAGACTTCCAGGCTTTACCTCAACACTGAACACAAGAAGTAAAATACTGTTGATAATTCCAATATCAGCTGATAAAAGTTTTAATCATTGAGACTTCTCCCGGTTCTCCCTAGATTCGTAACCATTCTTAGGGGGCGTTAAGCAAGCCAGAGCAGCTTAGAACCTTATCAGCATAATCTTGATAATTTTTGTCTCTATCTTTTGGACAAGTTTCTTATTTTTTCTCTTTGAGTGTTATAATGTATCAACATTTCAAAAGACTTTGTAATTAAAAAAAAAAATCTCTAGACCAGCAGCCTTAGTCATAAGTATATGCCAAACAAAAGGTCAATTGTACTAAACTACTGTGTATGTTTTCATAGTTTACGTCATTTATCTTCTGATTATTTTTACCCAACAAAAATATTTCCCACAATCATCTTCATACTCATTTTTAGTAATTTGATATTTGCTTGTGTTACTGTCTTATTCCACTCTTGTTGGACAGGTGGATTGTTAAGGTGACCATCTTTTTATGTGTTCGTTTGCTTTGGTTGAATTGTATTCTTAAAATGCATGTCCAAAAGTTGAAATACTTCACCAGAGAGTGTGAACCAGCTCTTACTACATATTGCTGTATTGTTTTCCAGGAGAGTTATACCAATTTAGGATTAGGCATGTTTTAAACAAAATCTTATGTAATAAATGTACCATAGGATTAGATCATATAGAGGGGAGGGTTTCTCTGGTGAACCTTCTTATTTTACATATGAGGAAACCGAAGCCCAGCAGGATGAGGTAACTTGATAAAGATACACAGCTAGCTGGTAGCAAAGTCTGGAATGTAACCCAGTTCTCAAGACTTCTGGGCCAATTCTTTATGTCTTTTATACTTTAATAATGCATTTTCTACAAAAAGTAAATCATGATGGCCTTTAATTATACATTTAAATTGACCTCATTGAATACGTTTGGAAGTTTTTCCTCTTCTTCTATTTTCAGGAAAAGATTATGTAAAATTATATTATTTCTTCTTTAAATATTTGATAGAACTCACCAGTGAAGCCGTCTCAAGTTGGGCTTTTCTTTGTGGGAAGATGGTTTTGTTTTCGTTTTTTTCCTGCTTTGTTCACTTCCTTTTTTTTTTTAAGCATTGGTGAGGGCTTTTTAAAAATAATTTTTTAAACTGTGGTAAAATACACATACAATTCACCATTTTAACCATTTTTAAGTATACAGTTCAGTAGCAAGTAAGGGCTTTTTTAAGCACACGTTGTTATTGTCTGTCTTTTTATTATAGCCATTCTAGTACAAGAATGTGAAATGATATCTCATTGTGGCTTTGGTCACAGTTCCCTAATAACTGAGATTAGGATGTTGAAAGGATATTGAGCATCTTTTCATGTGCTTAATGCCCATTTGTATTTCTTTTTTGGTGAAACGTCTATTAAAATCTTTGCCCATTTTTAAATTGGGTTGTTTGTCTTATACTGAGTTGTAACAGTTGTTTTAATATTCTAGACACAAGTTCTGTCTCAGTCGTATGATTTGCACATATTTTCTCACAGTCTCTGGCTTGCCTTTTCATTTTCTTAGTAGGGTCTTTCGAAGTATAAACACCTTTAATTTTGATAAAGTCCAACTTACCAATTTTTTGTTTTGTGGATCATGCTTTTGGTGTTGTCCCAAAGAACTCTTTGCCTAATCTATGGGCACAGAGATTTTCTCCCTGTTTTCTTTAAGAAGTTTTACAGTTTAACTTCTTAGATTTAAGTCTGTAATTCATTTTGAGTTATTTTTTGTGTATGGTATGAAGTACAAATCTAAACTCATCTTTATGAACGTAGCTATCCAATTGTCCCAACACCATTTGTTGAAAAGATTATCCTTCAGCCCATTGAATTGCGTTGGCACTGTTGTCAAAAATCAGTTGACCATAAATATAAGGATTTGTCATTGGACTCCCATTTCGGTTCTGTTGGTCCATATGTCTCTTCTTATGCCAGTACCACTGTGTCTTGATTGCTGTAGCTTTTATAGTAAGTGTTGAAATCCAGTAGTGAAAGTACTACAACTTTGTTCTTTTTCAAAATTATCTGACTACTTTGGATCCTTTGCATTTCCACAAATTTAGGTTCAGCTGGTCAGTTTCTACCAAAAAAAATTCTGCTGGAATTTTGATAGGTATTGTGCATCTATATTGCGGATCTATCTTTAAATATTTGTTAGAATTCACCAGTGGGACTGCCTAAGCCAGACTTTTCTTTGTGGGATGATTTTTTGGGTTTTGCCTTTTCCTGCTTGGTTCACCATTTTATTCCTTTCCTTTTTTTAAAAATAGCTTTATTGAGATATAATGTACATACCATAAAATTCTCCAATGTGAAGTGTATAATTCAGTGGCTTTAGTATATTCACAAAGTTGTGCAACCATCACCATAATCCAATTTTATAGCAGTTTCATCATCCTGAAAGAAATCTTATACCCCTTAGCTGTCATTCCCCTCCTTCTCTCCCCTGTCCTGGGCAACCGCTAATCGACTTTCTGTTTCTGTAGATTGACCTATTCTGGACATCTCATATGGTGTAATCATACAATATGTGGCCTTTTGTGACTGGCTTCTTTCACTGAGCATACTGTTTTTAAAATTCATCTATGTTGTAGCATGGATCAGTATTTTGTTCCTTTTTATAATAATACTCCAAATATTACTCCTTTTTGTTTATCCATGAATCACTTGGTAGACATTTAAGTTGTTTCCACATTTTGGCTGCTGTTAACATTAATGTACAAGTTTTTGTGTGGAGGTATATTTTCGTTTCTCTTGGGTAGATACCTAGGATGATGGAATTGCTGGATAATATGGTAACTCTATGTTTAACATTTTGAAGAACTGCCAGTGTTTTCAGAACAGTTGCATTGTTTTAAATTCCTACCAGCAGTGTATGAGGGCTCCTGTTTCTCTCATTATCTGTCTTTTTGATTACAGATGTTCTGTTCTGGTGGATATGAAGTGGTATCTCATTGTGGTTTTGGTTTGCATTTCCTTAATGACTAATAATGTTGAACATCTTTTTGCGTGTTTATTTACCATCTGTGTGTCTTCTTTCGTAAAGTGTCTGTTCAGATCTTTTGCTCATTTTAAAATTAGGTTGTCTTCTTATTGTTGAGTTTTGAGGATTCTTTATATATTGTGGATACAAGTCCTTTACCAGATAAATGCTTGCAAAGCGTTTCTCCTCACCTGTTGGTTTGTCTTTTCACTTTATGTGTGTTTATAACTGTTATGTTTTCCAGATGCACTGACTGAGATAAAGCGTCCCTCTTTATCTTTAGTAACAACTTTTGTCTTAAAAGTCTTATTTTGTCTGATGATAGTATAGCTATTCCAGCTCTCTTATGGTTGCATGTGGGAAGATTTTTAGTTACTAATTCTCTTTCTTTACTTCTTGTAAGTCTACTTGGATTTTCTCTTTCTTCTTCAGTCACTTTTGGTAATTTATGTCTTTCTAAGATTTGTCCCTTTCCTTTACATTGCCTCGTTTCATGGCATCAGTTTGTTCATACTGTTCCTTTCTAACCTCTTTAATTTCTGTTGGTCAGTAGTGTTCTCTCTCTAAGTTTTTAGTCATTTGTCTCTTCTTTCTTTTTTTTCTGGTTGGTCTAGCTAAAAGTTTATCAATTTTGTTGATCTTTCCAAAGAAACAACTTTTTTTTTTTTTGAGGAAGATTAGCACTGAGCTAACATCCACCACCAGTCCTCCTCCTCCTCTTTTTAGCTGAGGAAGATTGGCCCTGAGCTAACATCTGTGCCCATCTTCCTCTATTTTATATGTGGGATGCCTTCCACAGCATGGCTTGATACACAGTGCATGGGTCCACACCTGGGATCTTAACCAGCAACCCTGGGCCACTGAAGCAGAATGTGCAAACTTAACCACTGTGCCACCACGCTGGCCCCAATTTTTTTTAATTTTTGATTTCTATTTTCATTGATTTCCACTCTAATTTTTTTTTAAAAAGATTAGCCCTGAGCTAACTACTGCCAGTCCTCCTCTTTTTGCTGAGGAAGCCTGGCCCTGAGCTAACATCCGTGCCCATCTTCCTCTACTTTATATGTGGGACGCCTGCCACAGCATGGCTTGACAAGCAGTGTGAAGGTCCACACCCGGGATCTGAACCGGCGAACCCCGGGCCACCGAGAAGTGGAACTTGCAAACTTAACCGCTGCGCCACTGGGCCGGCCCCTCCTCTCTAATTTTTATTATTTCCTTCCTTCTGCTTGCTTCAGGTTTAGTTTGTGCCTCTTTTTCTAATTCCTTAAGGTGGAAGCTCAAATTATTGACTTGAAA